GTACCCAGGCTGGAGTGCAATGGCGCGATCTCGGCTCACCGCAACCTCCGCCTCCTGGGTTCAGGCAATTTTCCTGCCTCAGCCTCCTGAGTAGCTGGGACTACAGGCACGCGCCACCATGCCCAGCTAATTTTTTGTAGTTTTAGTAGAGTCGGGGTTTCACGATGTTGACCAGGATGGTCTTGATCTCTCGACCTCGTGATCCACCCGCCTCGGCCTCCCAAAGTGCTGGGATTACAGGCTTGAGCCACCGCGCCCGGCCGATATTTGCTTTTTCTTAAAACAGCAGAAAGATAAACTAACGTGGTTGCTGTAGGGGATAGCAGTCAGTGGTGGGAAAAAAAACTGAAATAGATTCTGAAGTAATACTTTGGACTTTGAAATTGTAAATGTTTTACTTATCACCAAACTAAGTTTTTAAGATAGCCCCTAAAATTGAAAAAATAGAATCTGAAATGAATGAATCTAATTGCCTTGGATTGTATTCTACAAGGCATCAGCCCTGAGACCAAAATATGGAAGGTGGCCCTGAGCAGCAGCTGAAGGGAATGGGAGGTGAGACAGGAAAGAGGTGGCAGCACGGGGCATCCGGGAGCCGGGTTCCTCATGGGCAGCGGGGCCCGTGCTCACTGTGGCTGTTGGTGCATTCTTTCACCAGCCCGTGCTCCACAGGTTCAGGAGAGTCAATTCCGGGCACACTCAGCCACTCCATCCTGCAGAGAAAGCCCCTAGGTAGCGTCCCGGGTGCTGTGGCGTCAGAATCCAGTTTGAGGAGTGCCCTGGCGCTGGCTGGGCCAGGCAGCATCATGGGTTCCTGCAGCCCAGCTGCATATCAGGCCGGTGATAGTCACGCAGCCTGTGATTCCATGCGTCGTCAGACCATCTCCAGAACACAGCACTTCAAGTGTGCAAATTCAGTGAGCCATAGTCTAAAGACAAATAGAGCCACTGAAATCCTAAATTTCAATCAATCATCTTATTGTTACTTGTCTTATTGGTATTAACCCTTTGAACTTACGTGTGGTGGGAGTTGAAGCTAATAACTAATTATGTTAATGCTAAAACATTTTTCTGGCCAGGAGTGGTGGCTCATGCCTGTAATCCCAGCACTTTGGGAGGCTGAGGCGGGCAGGCCACCTGAGGTCAGCAGTTTGAGACCACCATGGCCAACATGATGAAACCCCTGTCTCTACTAAAAATACAAAAATTAGGCCAGGCGCAGTGGCTCACACCTGTAATCCCAGCACTTTGGGAAGCTGAAGCAGTAGATCACCTGAGGTCGGGAGTTCAAGACCAGCCTAAGCAATATGGAGACACTCTGTCTCTACTAAAAATACGAAATTAGCCAGGCATGGTAATCCTAGGAACTAGGGAAGCTAGGGCAGGAGAACTGCGTGAACCCGGAAGGCAGAGGTTGTAGTGAGCTGAGATCACGCCCCTGTACTCCAGCCTGGGCAACAAGAGTGAGACTCCATCTCAAAAAATAAATTAATTAATTAAATATTTTTCTGCAAAAGAGGTATAAAAACATACTCTAAATTTGAAACAGAAATGTAAACTCATTTGTTCTTTTCACATACACGTTTCCTAGCTCTGCCCCCGTGGCAGCAGACACATCAAGCACCTAGACTGTGGTCTCTAATAAACCATGAATTCATGGTGATGGTTTCAAAGCCAAAACCAACCAAACAAAAGCATGTAATTGGTCACTCTTGAAGGTAACTAGGGCACTGACCCCCAACCCTGAGAATGGATGCTTGAAGGAAGAGAAGCGTTATCCTGCCTTTTCTCTACAAACCACAATTCAGGGAAACCTGGTTGGTTAGGACATGTTCTTTACGGAAGAATTCCTGCAAATAAGTGAGTGAAGAATGGCAGTTAGAAAACTGTCAGATTGCAACCTCTAATGCCACGGTTCTCCAAGGTGTGTAACAGGATCACCTGGAGGGACCCTACCCCAGAACTTCCATTCAGTCCTGGTTAGGCCTGAGAATTGGCATTTCTTTTTTTTTTTTTTTTTTTTTGAGATGGAGTTTCACTCATGTTACCCAGGCTGGAGTGCAATGGCGCAATCTCGGCTCACCACAACCTCCGCTTCCTGGGTTCAGGCAATTCTCCTGCCTCAGCCTCCTGAGTAGCTGGGACTACAGGCACGCGCCACCATGCCCAGCTAATGTTTTTGTATTTTTAGTAGAGACGGGGTTTCACCATGTTGACCAGGATGGTCTCGATCTCTTGACCTCGTGATCCACCCGCCTCGGCCTCCCAAAGTGCTGGGATTACAGGCTTGAGCCACCACACCCGGCCGAGAATTGGCATTTCTAACATGCCCAGGGACCACAGTTTGAAAACCTCCATGGCAGACATGTAATGGGATGACACGGTCCAATAAACGAAGGAAAAACAACAGGTGGAGACCCCTGGCAACCTCAGGCAGCTTCATGCCAGCCAGTAAGAAAGTAAATCCCCAAGCCTTCTGTAAACTCAGAGTAGTAGTAGCATGGGTGTTTGAGCAAACATTTAAGTGTTAGGACAAAGAATTAAAAACTGGCACAGGCTGCCAGGCATGGTGGCTCACGTCTGTAATCCCAGCACTTTGGGAGGTGGAGGCGGGCAGATCACCTGAAGTCGGGAGTTCAAGACCAACCTGACCAACATGGAGACACCCCATCTCTACTAAAAATATAAAATTAGCCTGGCGTGGTGGCACATACCAGCTACTCAGGAGGCTGAGGCAGGAGAATCACTTGAACCCAGGAAGCAGAGGTTGCGGTGAGCCGAGATCGAGCCATTTCACTCCAGCCTGGGTAACGAGAGCAAAATTCCATCTCAAGAAAAAAAAAAAAATACCACAGGCACCCCTGAAGCATGATAGGATGGCAACAGAAGGACCAGTTTAGTTTCCAAGAAATAACTGCTGGGCAGCTTCCTTGTGTGTATGTCTACTAAGGAACCAGAAACAAACCTTCAGACAGTTTTCATGAGTACTGAGACTAAGAAAACCATTGGGCAGTGGGTGGTCTGAAAATGTAAATTTTTATAGTACTCCACTAATTACTGAGTCATGGAACGATGCTTCATATTGAAAATGTTTTGTAAATGTGGGTTTCAGGGTTTCAAAATGAACCCATACTTGTTAGGAGAAAGGACAAACCAAAGAAGTAAAATAATTGGGTCAACGTAGAATGTTGCCCAGCGAGAAGGTGTGGATAATTCCTAGCACGGATCAAAGGCAGGAAAAGGGTGAGCTGTGTCTGAGATACTCAGACCCGCACTGGACTGTGCAGCTGCGGGACAGTGGCCTCGTCAGAAAGCTCCATTGGCCAGCACTGATGTGCCCTTTGCCCACACCCTCTCCCACTGAACAGCACCTATTTGAGTGTCCACTACTCAGTGAAACGCCCGTGTGAAAAGCAGTACTTGGTAGAAGAGCAAAAAAGGGGGAACAAAGTGGTAGGTCATTCTCTTCCATTCTGAATTCTGGCAGAAAAATGTTGGAAGGAGCACGGGAGCCACAGGAGAAAGTAGTCCCAAGATGGGGGGGCGGGGTGCCAGGCACGGTTGGCTCTGTCCCTGGAATTCCAAGGCTGGAACCTGGAAAAAGGGAAAGTGACTGAAAAATGAAAGATTCTGTGTGCAAATGTCACGATGCAGCGGTCAGTGATCCTGAGAAAATAACTGAACCCAGGTGGCTTCGGAGGGCTGCTGTTGGATGCATGTGCTGAGGTAATGTGGACTTGTGCATGCTCGTTCACACAAAGGACAGATGGTCATGTGTTCACTCAACAAACACTCGTCGAGGGCCTCTGTGCTAAAGACATCAGATGCACAAGAGGGTGCTCTGTGGAAAGCCCCAGGAACACAAGCTCCCAGAAACATTTAGAAAAATTCTAAGGAGGCCGGGCGCAGTGGCTCACGCATGTAATCCTAGAACTTTGGGAGGCCGAGGTGGGTGGATCATGAGGTCAGAGTTTTAGACCAGCCTGGCCAATATGGTGAAACCTCGTCTCTACTAAAAATACAAAAATTAGCTGGGCCTGTGGAGGGTGCCTGTAGTCCCAGCTGCTTGGAAGGCTGAGGCAGGAGAATTGCTTAAACCAGGGAGGCAGAGGTTGCAGAGCCGAGATCAAGCCACTGCACTCCAGCCTGGGCCACAGAGCAAGACTCCTCTTTTATTTTTTCTTTTTCTTACCCTGATTTTACAACCAGAGACTCAAAAAAAAAAAAAAAAAAAAAAAAATTCTAAGGAAAACAGAAAAGGCATTTTCAAATTAGCTCAGAGAAATTAGACCAAAGGAAAGACTCACCCAGTATTTGGATACATTATGCAATTAACGTTAACACAGGGAGGAAACTGATATCTTTCAGTTAATTTCTCAACTCCTGGAAAGCTTAGAACAGACCTGGTTAGGAGGAAATTGGATCTGAGGCAGGTGAGGAGATACTGGTACCTGGATGCTCCAGTGATTCCGTCAGCAGAACCAGGGCTGGGAGGTGAGCTTTTCGTTGGCAGGTGGTTTCCGCTGTAGCCTTGCCCCCTGGAGACAGGACTCAGGCAGCACCCCCACCTCTGAGAATGTGGAGAGGACTTGGGGAAGACAGTGTTGTCCCATGCAGCACAGCCCAGGCGCTGACAGGATTCAGGGCTGGAGGCTCCTTCTGGTCGGTTGCAGAAAAGGCCAGACCGCAGCTGCGTGGGTTGTGTATGTATCAGGCCAGTATCTCTTGTTCTAGACTCGCCCATTTGGACATTGACATGAGGGTCCATGCAGGGTGTTCTTCTTCAAACCCTAATTTCATAGTAACTCACGTCCCTTTCAAGAGTCAGCCTTGCTGCCACTGAGAAGGCATAGGAGAAGCACAAAAAGATCTGGGCTTGAACCTCCTCTTACTGCCTGCTCGCCTTAGGCAAGCTACCTTCTCTAAACTATGGTTTTCTTCAGTAAAACGTGGATGTGGTGCTGTGGCATGATGAGGATTAAACAGAGTAACATATTTAAATACTAGGGTGGATTCTAGCTTGTTGCATTCATTAAGTGTGTCCTCCCTTGAATGAATGCATTTTCCACCCCTAGAACTGAACGGAAAATGTAACTGAGACTCCTGGGTGCCGTGCGTGATGACAGCTGTGCACTCCAGGTTGGAGACGCCGCCAACAGTTGGTGGAGCCCAGCTACCTGTTGGGAGAGGGAGGCTGAGGCCTGCTGCAGTCACGGGTGTTTCGTTTTTTAATTTTAAAATAGCCCAAGCTAGTCTTGAAGTTCTGGCTTCCAGTGATCCTCCCACCTCAGCGTCCCAGCTGGGATTACAGATGTGAGCCGCTGTGTCCAGTGCTGAGCTATTTCTCACTGAGGGTTCCCTGTAAAAGGAACTTCCAAATTGGGTCACAAAATCACAGTTGTTAGTATTTTCAGAGTGCTGGAGAACAAAAAAGAAGCTAGTGGAAGATGGACTTTGGAAACTACAGATTAAAGAGCTGTGGAAGATTCTAGGAAGGATTCTTCTACAAGTAATATGAATACTTTGTCAATGAAAACAGTGAAACTCTAAAATATTTGAAGAGATTTATTCTGAACCAAATAGAGTGACCGTGTCTGTGACACAACCCTCAGGAGGTGCTCGGGGTGCAACTTGTTTTTATGCATTTTACAGGGTCATGAGACATCAATCGAATTTATTTAAGATACACATTTGTTCAGTCCAGAAAGGCGGAACAACTCCAAGTGGGGGCTTCTGGGTTATAGGTAGATTTTAAATGCTCTGGTTGGCAATCGGTTGAGAGTTATTACCAACAGAAATAGGAGGTTGTGTTTTATCATGCAGATGAAGCCTTGGGGTAGCAGGCTTCAGGGAGAAGAGATGGTATCTATCATCAGACTTAAGGTCTGTGTTGGCTTTCCCGGAATTCCAAAAGGGAGAAGGGTACAGGGAAGCACGTCCAACACCTCCTTCATGTCATGGCCTGAATCAGTTTTTCAGGTAACTTTTGTGGGGCCGTAGGGGCCCCAAAGGGTCGTGGGGTGTCCCTTATGCTGTGCTGAGGTGCAGGATCCGAGAAGTAAAGAGACAGGACACTGAAGAACTGGTGAAGAGCATCCAGACTCGGGGGACCACGCCATCTGTGAGTGGAGATCAGCGAGGGCCCCCCAATACCCCAAAGCCTCTGTATTTATTAGGTAGAATTAGGGGGCAGGGTTATAGTGAGGTCATTGTTTATAGGCTTAGTAACAGGGCATACATAATCACGTGAGTCACAAGCAAGGGGGCCACCCCATTATGTCACTTGGGCAGAGAGGTGGGCCGTGCGCAGCAGGGGGCCCTGCTATGCACGGTAGTAGAAGGTTGTGTACAGAAAAGGGGTCCACCCCCATTAGGTCACTGAGGCAAGGGGGTGGGCTGTGTACAGCAGGTGTCGTGCGCAACTCTTCTTATCCGGGGGCTGGAGACTTCAAAGGATCTCTAATAGAAGGATACTGTAAGCCAATGCAGTGGGAGCTGACAGATTTATGCTCTTCTCTTAAGATATTTATGGGAGGATGATTTGAGCCAGCACAGAAGCGAGAAGACTGACAGGGTGTACAGCTGCCGTGACTGGTCACACCAGAGGGGTTCTTCTCCCTTGGTTACTTCCAGGATCTCAGGCCTGAGGCTGACTTTCCACCGGAGCTGGATGCAAGGTGCTACAACTCCTTTATCAGGAGGAGAGGCTCCTGCTCCAGGCCTGCCATACAGCATGTGCCCTTTCAGGCAGGGACGCCACTGCCGGGGTCTGGTTCTCATCCTGGTCTGGGTGTTTTCCCATGTACTGCTTCTGTTTTGACTGCTCTGGGCATTCCTCCTAGTACAAACTACTATATGGTTATATGGAAGGATTCTATAAATCAGCACTAAATGTGTCAGTACAGCTCCGACTACAGTACCTGTATGATTATATAGAAAGAGTATATAGAACTAAGTATGCTAGATATAAGTATGGGGATATAAGCCGGATATACGTAAGCAGTAAGTTATACTTCAGGCGCTAACTCTAGAAACCAATATATGATTACATATAAAGGATTATATAAAGGAAATAGCTGAGTAATAACACTATAAACTAAGATATTCAGGTACGAATTGTGCCTGGGGTCTGGACAGTTCTCCCTCGGTACCCCTGGGGGGTGTTACGCACAACTTTGGAGTGCCCTGGCCCAGAGGAGGGGTCCATTCAGCTGGGGTGGGGCCTTAGAATTTTATTTATTTATTTATTCATTTTGAGATGGAGTTTTGCTCGTTACCCAGGCTGGAGTGCAATGGCATGATCTCGGCTCACCACAACCTCTGCCTCCTGGTTCAAGTGATTCTCCTGCCTCAGCCTCCCCAGTAGCTGGGATTACAGGCATGTGCCACCAAGCCCAGCTAATTTTGTATTTTTAATAGAGACTGGGTTTCTCCATGTTGGTCAGGCTGGTCTTGAACTCCCAACTTCAGGTGATCTGCTTGCCTCCACCTCCCAAAGTTCTGGGATTACAGGCGTGAGCCATCACACCCGGCCAAGAATTTTATTTTTGGTTTACAAGACTATGAAGAGAACACTAGAAACCACTTGAATTACTACATCTTGAAAAAAGAATTCACATTGTAGAAGAGGTTTGTAGATTAACACAGGTGAATGCCAAAGCCATAGAATATCTAAATTTCTTTGAGGAATTTGAAAGAACCCTCAGGTATATATATGCTTTGTGGACAAGAGCCAGAAAAATGGGACAGAGGATGAGATAGCTGGGAGAATGGAGCTGATCGTATCTATAGCTGTGCCCAGAGCGCTGAATAATGGATTCGCGTCCACAGGGAAGAACGGCTCAGGTGCCACTGATAAAAGACTACGTCCTTGGCTCTGGGTCCATTCAACATCTGGGTAGGCAACTGGGTGAAAATTCAGAGGAAACCTTAGGAACTCTGAGGATGAAAAAAGCGTTCACGGAAGGAAGCACTGAACAACATAAAAGACTGGAATAACGTTATGAAATACTGAGAATAATTGTAGTATCCTGAACTGGGACACAGGACACAGGACTGAGGTGGAACGTGGGCCCAAAGCGCGCGTGGGGGAAAGACCCAGGGATCACAGTTGGTCAAAGCTGGCACTTCCCAATTCCGGGGATTCGTAGGTTTCGGCTACGAGCACTGCAGGCTCCACTGCAGAACCGCGCCCAGCACCAAGGCAGCGCTGTCTCAGGAGGGAGGCTGGGCTGTGGGCTGCGCGACCAGCAGATGGGCCCGGCCGGGGGCGCCCAGTGTTTCCAGCTGCGCGAGGGCGGGGGCCGCGCTGATGCCCCGCGCAGGGGCGCAGGTTAAACCCAGGGGGAAGCTTTCGAGGGCAGAAGAGACGACGGAGAATGCCGCACGCTGCGCTTCTCACCCGAATTGTGTTTTGCTTTTTTTTTTTTTGAGATGGAGTTTCGCTCTTGTTGCCCAGGCTGGAGTGCAATGGCGCGATCTCCGCTCACTGCAACCTCCGCCTCCAGCGATTCTCCTGCCTCAGTCTCCAGAATAGCTGGGATTACGGGCTTGCGCTAATTTTGTATTTTTAGCAGAGATGGGGTTGTCTCCACGTTGGTCAGGCTGGTCTCGAACTTCCGACCTCAGGTGATCCGCCCGCTCAGCCTCCCAGCGTTCTGACATTACAGGCGTGAGACACCGCGCCCGGCCTGCACTTTTTTCTCCTTTTCTGGCAGAGTCCGGCGGTCGACCGGGCTGGAGCGCAGCGATCTCGGCTCCCGGCGGCCCCGACGTCCCGGGCTCGGGCGATCCTCCCGCCTCGGCCCCCGGAGCGGCGGGGCCCCCAGGAGCCCGGCCCCACGCCCGGTCTATAACGTTTGTAGGGCTGAGGTTCCGCCAGGCTGCCCAGGCTGGGCCGCACCGCGGGGCTCAACAGCTCCGCCCGCCTCCGCCTCCGCCTCCGCCTCCGCCTCCCAAAGCGCCGGGACGCCCCCGCCAGGGCTTTCCACTGTTAGCGCGAATCCCGCTCGCGTCAAAACTTCCTTTTACACAAGAACGGAAAGGCAAACTCAGTCTCCGCTCCCTCACTTCCCGCCCCGGGCCGGCGCGGGACCCTGTCTCCGCGCGCCTTCCGCGTTCCGCGCAGGCAGCCGGCGCGCGACCTCCCGCCTCCTCCCGCGGCCCCCGACCGCGCAGGCCCCGCGGCTGCCAGGGCGTTGCCCGGCAACTCGGCTGCGAGGGGATTGGCCCCGCGGGACCCCGTGACCCCTGCGGAGCCCACGCATTTCCTGCGTCCCCGGAAGTGACGGTAGCGCCAGGTCCCGCCCCCGGCAGACCCGGAAGCGGAGTCGCCCTGAGCCGTCTCCCTCAGCCGCCCGCGCCCCAGCCCAGACGCGCGCCTCGGCCCATGGCCGCCTACTCCTACCGCCCCGGCCCCGGGGCCGGCCCCGGCCCTGCTGCGGGCGCGGCGCTGCCGGACCAGAGCTTCCTGTGGAACGTCTTCCAGAGGTGCGGCCTGGCACCGCCCCGGCACCTCCCGCCTCCGCCTCTGCCGCGGCCGCTCGGATCCCTGCCCCGACCCCGCGGCCGCCCCCGTCCCCTGCCTGGTCCCCTGTGTCCCCCCCGTCCCCTGCCCCGACCCCGCGGCCGCCCCCGTCCCCTGCCGGGTCCCCTGTGTCCCCCCCCGTCCCCTGCCGGGTCCCCTGTGTCCTCCCCCGTCCCCTGCCGGGTCCCC